GCTAACAATAAATCCCCAAATTAAAACAACAGAAGTTTATTTTTTGCTCACATAATAGTCCTGGATGAATGTTCAGGTAATAGGCAGGCTCTCTTCCATGGGACCTGTGCTCCTTCCACATTGTGGCTCAGCCATACCACAGGCTCCCTCCAAACCTTTTTTGGACCCTGGGCCCTTTTGGCTCTCTGATGACACCTGTTGACCCCTTCTTAGGATATTTTCAAGTGCACAAAACAAAACTCATACTAGTAAAAACCAATTATGTGGACATATAGCCATTCTAGCCATTTTTAAGAGAAGTTTATTTTGTTTTTTGTAATCTCTACACCCAGTGTGGGGCTCGAACTCACAACCCCAAGATCAGGAGTCACATGTTCTTCCAACTGAGCCAGGCAGGCGCCCCTCTAGCTATTTTTTTTTTTTTAAGATTTTATTTATTTATTTGACAGAGAGAGACACAGCGAGAGCAGGAACACAAGCAGGGGGAGTGGGAGAGGGAGAAGCAGGTCTCCTGCTGAGCAGGGAGCCTGGTGCGGGACTCGATCCCAGGACCCTGGGATCATGACCTGAGCCGAAGGCAGACGCTTAACGACTGAGCCACCCAGGCGCCCCCCTCTAGCTATTTTTAAGTGTAGCATTCAGTGGCATTAAGTATGTTGTCTGAGGAAGCTTTTTAAAATTAAAAATGCTTTACGGACTTTATTATTATTATTATTGAAGATTTTATTTATTAGAGAGCACACGTGTGCAGTCGTGCGGGGGAGCATGAGTGGTGGGAGCGGCAGGGGCAGAGGGAGAAGCAGGCTCCCCGCCGAGCAGGGAGCCCGATGCAGGGCTCGATCCCAGGACCCCAGGATCGTGACCTGAGCCGAAGGCAGACACTTAACCGACTGAGCCGCCCAGGAGCCCCCTGACTTGACTTTTCTTGTTTGTGCTGGACCGTGAAGGTTTGTTACTGTCCTGTAGGTTCCCAGAGGGCGACCACTCCAGTAAGGAGTGAAGGGGAGTGGGAGGACCGTGCTGGGGAGAGGCCTGTGTCTTGGCTCTGACCCTCCCCTCATGGTCCCCTGCCCCGCTCCGGGGCCTCACCACTGCTCGGGGTCTGCACCCCACTGTTGTGCATGCGGAGGCCGTGGCACACCTTCAGTTTGCTCCTGCAGGGACTGACTGGGCCCTGCCTCATTCACCTGGGCCCAGAGACCTGCAGCACGAGGCGGCGGGCGGGGGGAGGCGCGGGGCCCAGAATGTGTCCTCGAAAGCACTGACTAAAATGGCTTCTGCCCATAGCCCTTCCCCTGCTGGCCGAATTCAGGCTCATACTGGTTTATTGAATAGCTGTCAGTAGTTCATGGAGTTCAGCTGAGGCCCCAGAATAACAAGTAATACCTTCCCAAGGGTTTGCTTTCAACTCTCAGCTCCTGTTTAAGGGCAGGAAAACCTCACTTTAATGAGAATACAGATGGACACAGTGCACTTTTTTTCACGTGATGGATGGATTCTTCTGCTGTCTCACGGTGCTTTCCCCCAGACACAGTGGACACTTGGCTTCTCGGCTCAGAGAGGGCATTCCTGGGACACTTTGTCCTGGAGGAACGTGCAGTAGGCATCCTCCTTTTTACCTCCTCTCCACGTTTGTCCCCCCATCTGCTTCCTGTCCTCGAACAGTGGCAGTGGCGGTGCCGCCCCCGGGTGAGTGCGGGTTCCCGGCGAGGGGCCAGGGTCCCGGGAGTCAGCCGCCCAGCACCTGGAAGCCCTTTGGGCCCCGACAGGGCTGCAGTTGGTTTTTCATAAGCAGACTTTGTCTTTAACTAGAACGGGGGCGGCTTGGATCTCCCGGGCGGGAAGCGTGTGGTTTGTCTGCTCTCAGTGAGCACATGATTCTCTGGGAAACCGTGGAGCCTGGGCTATGATTCACTGGAGGAGGGGGAAACATGGAAAACAGTGTCTGTCTTTAAGCTCCGGGAACCAGGAAAATGAGCTGGAAAATTGAGTAATGTATAATTTTACTAAAATTGAACACCGGGTTCTTCAGACATTTTCTTTCTGTGTTTGTCAGTGTCTTGTCTGATCTGTGAGGCCCCACTGCGTCATGCTTGCAGTTGACCGTTTTTCAGGTTACCTTCCCCAAAGTCCTCTTCCCCTGCTCCTGGGGGCAGTGTGGGTGCAGAGCAGGTCTTCGGGGGCGTGGGTTGTGAGTATGGCCCTGGCCTCTCTTCACCTCTGCCCTGTTAGCTGGATGCCTTGAGACAATTCTAGAGCTATGGTAGCACACAGCTAGGGTCACGGAGCCTCGCTGAGGAAGTCCCGCCGAGCAGCCTGCCGGCCCGTCGAACCCGGGGTCGACTGGACCTTCCCCAAATGGACTGCTGCCTTGGGGCGTCCCTTTCCCCTGTGGTGTGGTTTACTGGTCCCCAGGCCGTGTCTGGCTGTCCCGAGGCTCTGCCGGGTTCATACACATCAACGCACTCTACTAATACTGAAGTGCCGCTTGGACATCAGATTCGGGGGATGGGTGCTGCCCTATGTGTGTGCTGGTGACTTTGGCATTGGATGGAGACAGGCGCTGCCTGAGCTTGCGGCTGCTCCGTCCTGCCAGCCCTGGGCGGCTCTTCATCCCTCGACTCTTTCCAGCATCCCGCCTCCATCCAGGGCCTGTCTGGCTCTCTGGTGCTATAGCTGCCCCTTGGGTCACGAGCCTGCAAGAAGGCAGGGCTGTGTCTCCCTTTCTGTAGCCTTCACAAAACTGGGGCTCAGTTAACTTTGCTTGAGAAACCGGAGTCTGATTTGGACAGAGGCGGATTCGGGCTGGGAAGCTCATCAGTCCTACGGTCCATTCAGCGGCCTCCGCAGAGCTCATTTTGGCGGGCGGCGGGCAGATTGTGTTGGGGGCAGTTTACGTACCTTGTCAAATGTATTTTATCCAACTTGAGAAGGAAACCTGATACTGAGGATGGGGACTGTGATGATGTCACCTTTTCCTAGTGTGATGAAACGTATATTTAGCAGGAAATGTTGATCCAGGCTCGGCACCCGTCCGAAGGGCACGAACAACCCTGCAGCTGGCTCCCCAGCCCTCACATCTTCCCGATTCTGCCCGTCCTCAGTTCCGTGGCCAGCCCCGGTCACCCGTGTGCTGCTTCTCTGTGTTCACTCGTGGTCCTGGGGGGCCTGCCCCACGAGGCGGCATGCTGGGCAAGGAGAGTGCATGGTGTGCAGGCTTGGTGTGCTCCCAGAAGCCCCTGGGGAAGTCGGGGGGCGGTGCAGAGATGAAGACATTGCTCATAGTGGTGTGATGGGTTCCTGATGAAAGGTGTGCACAGGGCGCTCAGGGATCCAGGGCACAGCAGCTAAAGCTGCAGACACGGTTAGCAGTGAGTGGGTTGTGTGTGTGGCGGGGGGGCCACAGACACACGCGGTTAGGCGCCGGGCACGGTTAGCAGTGAGTGGGTTGTGTGTGTGGGGGGGCACAGACACACGGTTAGAGGCCGAAAGTGGCACGTCTGCTTGGGGAATGGCAAGAAGACTGTTGTAACTGCAGAGCGCCATGCTTGGGGGCGTGAGGGTGGAAAGGTGGTCAGGACCAGAATGGGAAAGGCCTAGAAGGGGTGCTGAGCTACTGAGAATGGTAACTAAGGGCGTGATGTGGTTTGATCTGCTTTATGGAAAGGTCGTGGTGGAGGAATACAAGTAACGCAGGACATCTGAGTCAGGCTGGCCGATTGAGTGTCCGTCGCTGGCCTGTGGTGTTACACTGAAGTTCTCCAAGACATAGCCACCGGGGGGACGGGGCAAAGGGAACACGGGACCGTATGTATTCTTTCCTACAAGGGCACGTGAGCCTACGATGGAAGAAGGCGTGCCCGTTGCACACCTGCACCTGCCTGTGTGTATAAAATTCCAACTTACCTTTTGTCTTATACAGGCAGCGAGGCAGGCTGTGACTTTTGCTTTCTCTGGGTTTCTTAGTGCGTGAGCCTAGGCGTCTCTGCTATAAAACAGGTTGTCCACTGAGGCAAGAGAATGGTTGCTTGTGGACTCTGAGAATAACTTGCATTCCTTAAAGAAAAGTCACTGAAATTTTTATCTGCCACATTTCTAGTTAAAAGACTTCTCATTTGTTATGAGAAAAAGAAGGTGCCGGCAGCAAAGACCGTGGTGGATGGAAGGGGCCAAGACCCGAGGCAGAAGGAACCCTTGCAATAAACGGGGCAGGAGGGAGCTGAGCCGAACCGGCATTCCTGGTCTTTGATCGGCTGTGCCCAACCGGTTCTCTAGCAGATGCTGCAGAGCTGAGGTCACTCAGGTCGTGGGGAGGGGTGGTGTTGGCGGCCCCGTCCGTGTTCCCCACAGCACCTGCCAAGCGCTGCACATGTGGCGGCGGTCTCCGGGACTCTGCTGAAGCTGACTGCTGTGGCTGGTGTGTTCCGGATGGTAGAGCCGCGGGGATGCCACCCCTTACCAGCCGCGGCTCCGCTGCCCTGAGTCTCGGTTCTGTCCCCTGGAAAGGTAGCTCTGGCATCTCCTTTGTGCTTTCGGGAAGATCTGGAGAGCTCATGCTGCTGGAGGCCCAGAACAGGATCCACCCCATAGGAGGTGTCTGGTGACTTTGCGTCATCGTTCTCTTCATCCTTTTGAATGGCAGATCCACGTCCAGCCGAGCCGGCCCCGAGCACACAGGCTAGTTCTCCAGGCCCCGAGCCCGTGGAGTTTATTATAGAAGGGCTCTGATGTGGGGCGGGGGGGGGATGCCGGGTGGAGGGTGCCACCGAGGGGCTTTGGAGTCACGCCGACCTGGGTTAGCACTGGGGCTCCTCAGCTTCCTGGTGAGCTGTTTGACCTGAGCCTCGGGAAACGGGAACACTGCTAAGTCTTTGTCCCCCACGCGGTGGAGAACTCTGTGACATCATGAGCGTGCAGCGCCTGGCTCAGGGCCGGCATCCCATTCGCCATTTGGGGCATGCCGGGTATTCCCGTCTGAGCGCTCTTCCCCCCTCTTTCAGGAGCAAGACTGCCAACGGAGACTGCCGAAAAGACCCCCGGGAGCGGAGCCGCAGCCCCATCGAGCGCGCCGTGGCCCCCACCGTGAGCCTGCACGGCGGCCAGCTGTTCGCGTCCCTGCCCGGCCTCAGCCTGGAGCAGCCACTAGCACTGACCAAGAACAGCATGGACGCCAGCAGGCCGGCAGGCATCTCACCCACGCTGACCCCAGTGGAGCGGCAGCAGGTATGCCCCTGTCCGTAGGGTTCAGGGCCAGGAGGGAGGTGGTGGGAGAGGTGGGTTTAGCTTCAGTTCTGCGCTGGGAGAAAGGAGGAGCGGTGGCAGCACGGACCCTTTCACCGAATGCCACCGAGACCCGCCCGGGCCTGGCCTCCCACGCCTGACGGCCTTGGACCAGACGTTTAACCTCTCTGGGGCTTAGTGTCTTTGCACAAGGCAGGGTTGGTTTAGGCAAAGTCTGTTTTCAGCAGTCTTCCTCGGCGATCCTGTTTCTAGAAGGATCAAGGAAGATCCTGCATTTACCTGTTAGAAGGTCACACCGACGAAGTTAAATGTCAGGTTCCTTTGCTTTGGGCTGGAATCCTATAGAGTCAGTGGTCAGAGCGGTTATTAGCTCCTGCTGGTGAGGAATCTGTGATTAGCGGGTAGGGATGTTTTTTTATTAAAGGAAAATAAGGAAATTAAATTCTTAATAAACACAGTTTGCTTGATTAAAAAAAAAACAGTATTTCAAAAGTGGGGCTCCTGGGGAAATGCTTCAAAGGAAGCATTAGCATCGAGGTTTGGAATCCCTGCCCGAGCCCATGGTGTTTCTCTGTGAACCTCTGGGGCCTGTGACCCAATAGGTCCCCGGTCAGCGTTTGCTGAAGACTGACGGACAGTGAGTGAGGCAGGTGCCGTGTCCCGAGGAGATGCTGGGCACAGCTGGGGGCTCTGCTGCTGCGCATGGCACGGCTTCCCTGCAGCCCCCCACCGCCACGACAGCACCCCTGCCCGGCTCTGATCCAGTCTCTCGTACTGTTGGGGGCGGGCTCTGGGCATTGGGAGAGGGGGTGCTGGTGCCTGGGGTCCCAGTAAGGCTGACGAGCCATTGTGCTTCCTGTGTGGGAGCCAGGCATCTCCATTCCATTTGTTTCATTCATTCATTTAACGAAACTGGGTAGGTGCCTACTGTGTGCGGGGGGGAGGATGCTAGAAGCTGGTCAGGCAAGCTAGAGGCACTCAGGGTTTTTGTCCAGCGGAGACCAGTTATCCAGTAGCAGACAGCCACTTACTCTGATAGGAACTGGGGGCCAAGTTACCCCTCCATTCACGGAGTGCGCACTGTGCCCTGGGGCGCTGCAAAGCCCTGAAGACACAGAGACACGTGTAGGATGCAGTTCCAGCCTGGAAGGAGCTCACAGTCTGGTCACGGAGGTGGGTGCGTGCAGGAGAGCTGCACTCAGAGGCCAAAGGAGAGGGTGTTTAAGCATCAGAGATTGGTTTCTAGGATCAGGGAATTCAGCCAGTGCTGTGAGGAGTCCCTCGATGGGGCATGGGGTAGGGGGGGCCTCCACTGGGAAGTTCAGTCTCTGAGCCCATGGTGGCTTGGGGGAGGAAGCTCCCGGAAACCCCTGGAACTATCTGCCCAGAACAGCTGTCTCTGAAGCTGTAGTGTTGGCTTGGAGCAAGGGTTTCTGTGACTTTGAGGGTCTTCTGGTTGATCCTGGTCGTATTTGCTGTGTGAGAAGTGTGCCACTGGACAGAGTGACCTGGCTCTTTTCACCATGCTCTCCCCAACCCTTCTGCGAAGTGTGCCTGGCTGCCCAGTCCAGCAAGAGGGCCCCTGGCCCGTCAGATGTGCTGTGGGGCTGTTGAGCGGGTTTTCTAGGACTGAGGACCTTGAATTCCCACCTGAGTTCTTAGGGGATTCCTGGATGGAGAACAAAGCCAGTGGCCGTGGAATAAGTTCATAGCTTTCCCAGGGCAGGTACAGTGGCTTTGGCTTCCCTGACATGTGTCAGCGGCCCAGGCCTAAACTTCAAGGCCGGGGTTGGTGGAGAAGCATGTGTTTTATGGCCCTGGGGACCCTTCATCGAGCTCCTTCCTGTGCCAGCGTGGTATGGCCTGGGTGGTCACTGGAGCCTGAGCTTCCTCTCGGATGGTTACCAAGTGCTGTGCCAGGTACCGGGCTGGCCTTGCCGTCTGGGGTGGGTGTCACCGGCGCGCTGTCAGGGTGGCTCCCGTGGGGAGGGGTGCCTGCTGGGCTGCGGCTCTGAGCCAGGGAAGGCATGGGGATGGGGCTTCCTGGAGCAACGGCACAGCGCTGGGTGGAGGGCGGGCGGGGGAAGCCTCCCACTCAGATCTATGGGAACTGGGATGGGAAAGTTCCCAGAGAGGGCATGTCTGGGGAGGCTGCAGAAAGTGTCACCCACTTCATGTTTCTGTGATGGTGGCTCTGAGGGGATGGTGTGACCTAAAGAAAGCTATGGAAGAGCCGGCGGGAGTGGCTTTGAGGACAGCAGCCGATGAGGAGATGCAGGGTAGGGGTACATAGTAACAAGAATGGTTCTCTTCTGGGAGCTTTTTCCCCAAGGCGGCCTTGGCCGGGGGTCCGGGGTGGGGGGGTGCAGCCAGAGCAGGGGCGGGGCGAGGGCTGAGTGGGGTGTGAGTGACAGTCTCGGCCTGGCCCTGCCGCGGGTTGGCTGCGGAAGCTCCAGCAGGCTGCTCGTTTCTGGCCTTCGTTTTCGCCATCTGGAAGGCGAGGGTGTGGCGGGGGAGTTTGGGCCACGGAGATCCCCACACTCACCATCTGGAGGCGGGAGGCCGGTTCCAGGTGGGTGTGTGGCGCTGCAGCCCGGCCGAGGGGGCAGGTGGTGTGGCCCGTCCCGGGAGCGCTCTGCCAGGCCGCCCTGGGCTGGGCTGTAGGGAGGAGAGAGGCCGAGCCCGCTGTCCATGTGTCTGTCCCCAGCGTCTCCTTCGTCCCCGGCCAGGGGGTTCCTGGAGATGACCCGCTCCTACCAGGAGTGAGGTTAGAACGTCTTCACGGCATCCCCACGCTCGCCCCGGGTTCTGCCTTGCTGGTCCCTGCTCAGGGGCCACCTTCTGTCCCGTGTGGCTGACATTAGGCTGGACGTTGACTTGATTCTTCTAGCTTTATTCTGAGCTTCCCCAAATTCATTTTCTGATGCTTTACATTTCTTCACCTTCCATGACCCCTTCCCCAAGACAGGCCCCCACTTGGTGACATTTGCGTCAGTCAGGACTTTAGTTGCAAGGAACAAAAACCAGCCTGAGCTGACAGAAGCACAAAAGGAAGGGAGTTTTACTGGGAGGACCTGGGGCGTCTCCGGGAGCCCGGGGTCATGGGTACGGCAGGATCAGGAAGGAAGGGCCAGCCCTTGCCTGGGAGGGCTGGTGAGGAAGCCGGGCCCTCCCTCCCCTGGCTCTGTGCCGGTCCATGTCTCTGCGTCCCCTTCTCTCTCTGCTTCTCAGCCTCACAGCCAGCCTGGTGTGACCACCCCTGACTTCTGAGGTCAGCCTGAATCTCATAACTCAGTCTGGCTTAGTAGCTGGCCCCACGCCCGGGTCAGATTTCTAGCCTAGCCAGCGGGGCAGAGGTCACTTATGGACATGGCCGCCTTAGCCCCACCTCATGGATGGAGGGCACATTCTACGAGAGGGGAGCCAGGGAGAGCGCAGGGTCAGGGTTAAAAAGAACCTTCAGAAGGTGGGCTCCAGGCTGCAGGCTGCCCTCCGGGGATAGCAAGACCAGCCCTGAAGGGCAGGACCCCTGCCACCACAGGTTTGGCCCCAAACTCTCACCTTCGGGCGGTCCTCCAGCCCCCTCTTTAGCTGCTACTCTTCCCGTCTCACCCGCGGAGGAGTGGAGGTGAGAGGGTGAAGGTGCTGTCTGATGTGGAGAGCAGACCTGGCCTCGAAGCCACGTTCTCTCTGCACCACTTTTGTCCACACTGTGACGGCTCACACTCACTCCATCCCCGTTGCTGATGTGTTGAGCTAGTAATGAAACCCCCAATTTTTCCTTTACATGCTGCTGCTGAGCCGTGTCTTCCCCCATCTTCGATGTGAGTAATTCGGTGTTAGGCTCAAGCACGTCCTGGCCCATCCTTGTAGGTCCGGATCTTTATCACAGAACATGTTTTTCACTCCTGTTCATTTCCTATCATGGGAAGGTTTGCTGTGCAAGCCTCTTGTGTCTTTATCCTGGCTACTGATTGAACTCTTTAAAGGAGAGGCCAGAGGTAGAGAAACCCTGACTGCCCTCACATCGGCATTGTTCTTATGCTTGGGCCCTCTGAGGGGGCCCTTCAGCCAGCTCCCCTCTGGTTTTCCTGGAAATCCAGGCACATCCTCCTCTACCTTGTCTCTGGTGCTGTCGGGAGATGTCTTTCTGGCTAGAACCTGAGGAGGCTGTTTGATTTACAGGTGTTTTCTGTCCTGGATACTTGCCGAGGTCTGGGGCTCCAGAAACGCTTCTTGGTCCTTGCTCTGAAGTGTGCACAGCTAGGGGAGCCAGGTGCTGGGGTCTTCTGGGAGCACTTGGAAGGCATGATTGACTTGCTGAATGGGGAGGTGGTGATGGTTGAACAAGTAAGAGTTTTTACCAGGCAGACAGTGCGGTGGTCGTGGGGAAGGAGTGTGCGTCGGCAGAGCAAATTGGGCCAGGGGTGGGATGCACGTAAGTTCATACTTGGATGTACTTCCTGCGTCTCCATCTCCATCAGGATTTGTGTGGTCATAATAGAAACCAAGTTGAGCTGTCTTTAGCTTAAGCAAAAACTGGGAGTGTGTTGGGAGGGTACTGGAAGGGCTCAGAGAAGCCCTTGGGCTATAGGGCACACGCCGAGAAGGCCAGGGACCGGGCTGCCCTGGGGACTTGACCGCAGGAGCTGTGGAGGCTCCTCACACACCCGCGGAGGCCCACTCGCTGGGAGTTTGCTGTGCGTTAGCAAGGTCACTCTGGGCGGCAGATGGACCGGCCTTCACTTTGCCTCTTGTCAGGAAGGGCTGTGGGACAGGCTCGCAGCAGAGTAGTGGCAGTACTGCTGAGGGCCTTGCACAGAGGACTGGGACCCGATGGATGGCGGCCCCTGGCTCCCCGCAGGCGGGAAGAGTGCCCTCCATGGTGGTGGAGGGACACACAGACTCGTTCTGCCTCACAGCTGTGGCACGTGTATAAGGACTGGGGTGACCAGCTGGGGTGAGTGCCACCGCCCCGCGTCCGCCCGCCCGAGCCAGAGCTAACCGCAGCCTCTTCTCCCCAGAACCGGCCATCGGTGATCACGTGCGCCTCGGCCAGCACCCGCAACTGCAACCTCTCCCACTGCCCCATTGCGCACAGTGGCTGCGCAGCGGCCGGGCCGGCCAGCTACCGGAGGGCCCCGAGCTGTAAGTCACCAAGTCACCGTGCGCGTGGGGCGGGTGGGGCCGTGATTCACGTGGGGTGTTTGCATTCCTTCTACATCGTGCCCTGGACAGAACAGCTAGCCCCTGGAGCTTAGGTTTTATTGAGGTTGAAAGAGGTTTGTTTTGAGCATGAGACACATGCAGCGAGCATTGTGTCTGTCTTGAGCGGGACAGAGGGAAGAACCCTCCAGGGAGGAAACTGTGGTTGGGACAAGATCTACCAATCTTAAGGCCATGTTCTCTCTCTGAACTCATCCCTCGCCCAGGCGGGCACGCTGCCATGTTACAGGTTCAGAGAGGAGACCTGGCCAAGTGCCGAGCCAGGGTGGGTGGGGACGGGCCCTCTGTTCCCAGAGCTCTGATCGGCCGCTGTCCTGCTCCCCCACAGCCACTGCCACCTGCGACCCCGTGGTGGAGGAGCACTTCCGCAGGAGCCTGGGCAAGAACTACAAGGAGCCCGAGCCGGCACCCAACTCGGTGTCCATCACGGGCTCCGTGGACGACCACTTTGCCAAAGCCCTGGGTGACACGTGGCTTCAGATCAAGGCGGCCAAGGACGGCGCATCCAGCAGCCCTGAGTCGGCCTCGCGCAGGGGCCAGCCTGCCAGCCCTTCTGCGCACATGGTCAGCCACAGTCACTCCCCCTCCGTGGTCTCGTGAAGGGAGCGCCACCCTTGAACAAGATGTCAATCTGCATGGTTTGCCTGAGCTTTGAACAGTCAGTGCTTAAAAAATGGAAAAACACACAAAAAAATTGGGGTGGGGTAGGGGGAAAGGGGAGGGGAGGGGTGGTTTATTCGCAAAAACCATGTCGTTGGGATTTTTGTTCTGTTTTTGTACTTGCTTGGTATTCGTACCCGGGGGCCCTCAAACTCCATAGCAGGAGCTGCACGAGGAAGAGCTAACGTAGTGTCCTGCCTTCCTGCCTCAGTTACCAAAGAAACCTCTGATGCAGGTGTGCTGCCCCGTCGGGGGCCAGGACTCCACGGCGCACGCTTTCTCAGTCACAAGCCATGACGTTGGTGACCCAAATGCTTTGTGCTTTTTAATTTGCTTCTCGAGACCGGGGTGTGTGTGGCTTAGCTTCCGTTGCGTGTTTGGTCCGGCCTGCGTGTGCGTGTGTGCGTGTGCGTGTGTGCGTCTACTTGAAGAGAACAGAGAACTGTCGCGTCTGATTTGCACTATTGGAGGAGGGCTAAAGTTGCCTGCCGGACAACTTTGTGAGATGCTAGTACTCTGAGGGCAAACTGCTGAAAAACAAAGGGTTTAAGGATGACATTTCTGACCATTTGTGTGTTTTTTGTTTGTTTTTTTTTTAAATTTAGACAAAACAGCTTTGGAAGGGGAAGTCTCATACAGGTTATAGGTCTTTCTCTCTAGATTTCAGGTGCTTGCAACTGGACTGCAGACTCTACCAATCACGGGCATTCTCCCTTTCCTAAACACTGCAGTTTGTTAGACTAGAGCTGAGGTTGGAGGATTCTATAGTGCTTTCAACGTGATGCATGTTTTAATGGAGAAAAATAGCTGGTTTCTATTAATTGTATAGATCTAGTAAACAAGAACCTTAATACTTACTAGCTTCTTTTCAGAATTAGTTTATTTTTGTCAGTTACAGTCCTAGATATACTTACTGCTGGTACAGTTGTACTCTTTGAGATTTGTGTTTGATATTCACATGACTCCCGAGTAGTGTGGGGCTGGCAGGCCCTGGAGATGGGCAGGCCAGTCGTGGTCAGCCGCGGTGTAGGATGCTGGAGTTTTTTGCTGCCGGCTGACATTTAGTTTTTGCATCCCCTGTCTGCTTATTACTAGCTCCCAGGGGAGTTGGGGTTTGTGTCTTCCAACTTCCCTCCATGCAGAAACTGCTCCCTTTCCACCCTCTTGGCTGAACAGCAGATTACTGACAATCTGTGATACGGTATTTTCTGTGCTTCCTCATACGCTGGGGCCAAGGCAGTATACATTCCTCTGACTTTATACAGTTATCACTGCGTTTATTATCGTTTGCTAGAGTAATAGCTACTAACTAGAAATTAGGCGAAGAAGAAAGCATGACGGACACAGCTGTGGATGTTCAACAGCTGCTCCTCTTTTTGGTAAACGTACATTTCTATTCCCCCCCCCCCCCACCGCCTGCCACGTTCCAGCCGCCAGAAGGCCACCAGAGGGCTTACAGAGTCGCCTGGCCAGGTGACACAGGGAGCGCCTGCCTCCCCTGCGAGGCGCTGTGGACGCCCGGGAGCCCTCGAGGCTGGTTTTGAGTATAAGAAAAATACAGATTAGCTGGTTGTGAAAATCATCACTGGGCAGAAAGGTCAGCGGATCGGCTCTTGTGGTCCCAGGGTGGCTGTAGGTCTTTCCACAGGCGGAAGACAAGCCCTTCTCCTCTTGCCCCTGCACACATTTCACCCCCACGTAACTGGGCTTCCAGGCTTTCGCATTCGGGCCCCTATATTTTCTGTAGGAAAAATCGGTGAGAACACTTTTTTTATATAGGTAACTTTAAGACCATCATTACGCTGTGCGTAAAGAATGTACAGAGAAATTTGTAGGTATTTTTTGAAGAACAATTAATTTGTTAATGATATGTAGCTATTTAATTTCCCCTTTCCCATTGTAATCATTCATATTTTTTTTTTGGAAAAAAAAGTTGATCTTTTTTTTTTTTTTGTCGTAGATTTGTCTGTAAAAGTGCAGGAACACAGTTATTCTATGAGAACACTGCATCTGCCTTAATAGCCACTAGTTTGTTATTGCTCCAGGCTACTGAGCGCGGCGGCAGGAAGCGGCCGGCGGCGGCGGGCTCTGCGAAGGGCGGGCTCCCCGGGCCCGGCCCCGGCACTGGCCTATCTGGGATAGGCGGGCCCCTCGAGGGGCCCCGGGCGCGCGGGGAGGCAGAAAACCAAACATTTCACCGGGAAAGGACACACTCCCTGGCCTCAGGAGGAGCACAGTGAGCTCTTCACAGAGCCACGCCGTCGCGGTGCGTCCTGCCCGTTCTCTCCTTGTTTGTAAATCTGTAATATACCATTCTCTGTGGCCTGTTTTTCCTGGAAGAAGAAGAAAAAAAAAAAAAAAGGTTTGGCAGGCCATCTTTTTTTTGTACTTAAAAGTAGCCTTAAGAACAATAATAAAGTGCTCTTAAACCACAGGCTGTGCGTGTGACCCATGGGCCTGGGGCGGGGGGGCGCCCCGCGGCTGTAGCTCCGACTCCATGAGAAGCCCCATTTACCACCTGACCCGCGGAAACCGCACCCTTCTGAGTCCGCCTTCAGCCTCGCTGTTGACTTGGGTCCCGGGCCTGAGGCAGAAGAGACCACCCCAAGAACACAAGTGTGGAGAGGCTGCGTCCCCCTCCTGAGTGCCCACGCCCAGCGCTGGGCGTCCCGGACCATGTGCCACCACCACACACTGCAGTCAGGGCCTTCTGGGTACCGCTGAGGGCCCTCGGGAGGGAAGGCGCCTCCCTCACTTGGCCGCAGAGGAGTGGGCTCTGGGGGTTTGAGGCCTCCTCCGGGGCAGGAGGGGCTCCCACCCAGGCCGTTACCAGGATGTGGCCCTGAGACCTGTTCCTGGGCCCTTCCACCAGCTCAAGGCAGCAGCAGAAACTTCTTTCCTCCCCTGAGCAGGGAGACACAGATGCTTTGCCCAAAGCTGAGGACAGGCCAGGAGGTGGAGGAACTGTCTGGGTGGCAGACTCTGTCCGTAGTGGAGCTCTGGGTTCAGTAGGACGAGTGCGGGCCCTTCTGCACGTTGCTCCCTCTCCAGCAGGCCAGGCTGACGGAGCTCACAAGGACGTCAGCCTGCACTGGTGCCCGGAGGCCCCCCTCTCTGGGGTTTGCAGGGCAGCCCAGGGACTCTCTTGCTTGCCCCCCCCCCACAGTGGCTGCCGGAAGGAGCTGCTTTCTCATTTCCCCATTTCGTGTGTTGGGCTGACTGTTCCCTGTCCTCATTGCCGCCCCATGGGGGCCAAGGTGGGAAGGATCCCGGAGTTTTGACTATCAAACACAAGAAAAAAAAGAACTCGTGGCGGGAACCAAGTCCCGGATCAATGGCAATGCCAAAGCCAAGGTTATTATTTAGCTCAGAACTGGTAAGATCATGAATCATAAGAAATGGAGAACCCCAGAAGCTCCTGGGCAGTGGAGAGGGGGCCCTGGTCCTCAAGGTACACAGAGGAGGAGACCACAAAGGTTGGAGGAGCGCAGGGCCCAGAATCACCGATCTTGGGGGCGGCAGTCCGGCTCCAGTAACCGAGGGCTCCTCAGCAGGCGGCCAGGGAGAAGCCAGCCACGCAAGGGTGGGCCATATCAGACGGTCTCATCGTCGCTCATGTCCCAGATCTGTGTGGAGAAGGGGGAGACATTCAGTGTCCAGCCGCCCGGTGGCGCCCACTGGTGGGGCCTCACATCTGGGTGGTGTGATAGCAAGCAAAAGAAATGACGGCTCCCACTTGCAGATGACACACTGCGCGCCTCACAACGCCCTTGTCACTAAGGACAGAGACACCCTAGTTCTTGTATAATGAAAGCAAATCACAGAGAAGGGAAGTCATTTGCCCGGGCCTCACTGCTGAGTGGGCGAACAGCGGCCAGCCTGGGGGCGGGGGTGCTGGGATCTGAACGGGGAGTCTGAGCACCCCTCACCTCCCGACGCCCACCGCACAGCCGCCATCCCTGCCCCGACCAGCCCCGCCCGCTCCTGTTTCTGCCGCCCTGACCACTGCCCCAGGTCATCCTTTCTCTCTAATCGTCTCCTCCTCAGGGCCTCCCAGGGCAGGGACTCTGGCCTGTGCACACACTTCCCAGCCCTGGGGCGGCACGTCAGCGTGCTCCAGGTGCCGAACGGACTACAGATGGCACACCTGGACAAGCACGGATGAGCTGGCTGTCCCTCGGGAAACCAGCCCCAGGGGAGACAGCCAGATCTTGCCTCTGTCCCTCTGTGTCTTCAGGGAGCCCAAGACTTCTGGGGCCAACCTTCACGGGGGCGGCGTAAGGGGACAGCGGGGCTCTCACGGCGTCACCCATCAAGAGGAGTGAGGAGGCCGGAGGCCCCGCCCAGCTGCCGCCTCCACTGCAGCCCTCCGCCTGAATCCCTGGGAGGGAGTCGGACACCAGCACAGAGGCCCCTGGGGCTCCTCGCACCCTGGGCTCCCTGGGGGGCTGGTCCCTGAACTTACGCGTTCAGACTTTCAAAATTCCTAGAACTGGTTGCAAAAGGCCACCTCAGCCCTAGCAGAGCTGAGAGAAGGAACATCATGTTTACACGAGGCTGGCCCGGGGAGATGGGGAGGCCCGGCCAAGGTAAATATCAACACCAGCTTGGCTTTCAAAGTCAAGGATGTGGAAAATAAATAGAGAAGGAAATTTCCTTTATCCTGAGGTCCCAGCTGCCTGGGCCAGGGGCTGGTGGTGAGTGTGCCTCTCACACCCACCCCCCTTTTTTCATACACCCTACTGTCCCAAGATACGAGGGTGGGATGGCACCAGCAAAGATCAGCTGCCTGCAGGAGCAGGGAAGGGGTGGGTAGGAGCCTGGGCTGGGGTCTGGCGACCTGAGTGAGGCCAGGCAGGCCCTGCCTTTCTCGGGGCCCAGGGGCTCCAGAGCATGGCTTGAAATAGATTCCAGGGCCTGGACCCTCACATGGGGTTTGGTGGGGGGTAGGAGAGGGTGGCTGCATCCCAAGCCGAGGCGGCACTTAGGAGCCCCTGGATGTGATAATCTTCCGGTTCAGACCACCCGAGTGCAAAGTCAGCTACCGGAGGGTGGACTGGTGGGGCTCATCCATTCTCTCCCTTGGTCGTCCAACACCCGCGCACTGGTGGGGCCCTTCCTCGTGCTACGGCTGCAGCTGTGCAGAGCCCATGCGAATACCCCCTCCCCTACCCCACCACAGCCCGGGAGGTGCAGAGGGAGACAAATTCAGAGAGGGAAGATGGCTTGCCCGGGATCACACAGCCAGTCAGGTGCAGAGCTGGGAGCACAGGTGTGTGGGAAAAGGTTACATGAACAACAAGGGCTGCCTGGGGCAGGCTGCATGGAGGTGGCGCCAGGGCCGGGGGTGGGCTATAACCTGCTGGGGGTGGGAGAGATGCCAGCCAGGGCCCGGGCAGTCTGTGTCAACAAGCAATGCCTTCTGTGAACGGATAGGGTTTTTCAAAGGACACTGGGCGGGCCAGGCCCAGAGCAGGACCTTATGGAAAAGCAGGAGCTCTAGAGGCTCTGTCCATTTTATTGCAGCCCAGTGATGAGGTAGGGTCCTCAGCCCCCGGCCTTGCCTTTGCACACGGGGTGGGGGTCGCAGGGCGGGAGGGGTAATGGCTCTGCCTCGTGCTCCTGGCACTGCCCAGGTTGTGCAGGGGATCAAGCAAGGAACCCGAAAGGCTTACTATGACAGGACTCTACAGAAAGGGGGGGGAGTGGATAATGGATTTTATATAACTGCTCAGGGATTTTCCAGAAAGTTCTCTGGGCCTGAATTGGGTTTCTCCACTAGGACAGTCAGTCCTTTTCCCATCGGCTGGGCCCAGGAAGGCAGCAGTCTTATTTGTAAAGCTTCCAGAAGCTTGAGCCTCCACAACTCCCACATGATCTCACTTATAGGTGGAATCTAAAAATGCTGAACTCAGAGAACCAGAGAGCAGATGGGTGGTTGCCAGGAACTGAGGGGAAACGAGGAGATGCTGGCCAAAGGGTACAAACCTTCCGCTGTAAGAGGAGTATGTTCTGGAGATCCAATGTACACCATGGTGTTATAGTTAAAAATACTATATACTCGAAATCTGCCCAGAGAATAGATCTTAAGTGTTATCTCACACACACACACACACACACACACACACACACACACACACACTAACCATGTGAGGGGATGGATATGGTAATTAATTTCACGGTGGCCACCATTTCATAATGTATATTAAGTCACTACTTTGTAAAACCTAAATTTATACATTTTTTGTCAGTAAAGCTGGAGGAGAAAAAAAACAAACTTTCGTCTCATCTCACCCTGGAATAAGGCTTAGGGGGTGTGGAGGGGGGTTGTGTCCTCAGCCTCCCTCATAGTGCCTGGCGGACAAGAGGGCCCATGAATGTCCTCTTCATAATGAATGAAGGTTGTATTAAACTGGCAAAGATTTAAAAAATGTTGATACCCAGTGCTGGCAAGGGAGTGGCAAAATACTTCCAGCAGGAACATAAATTGGTACCATATTTTTCAAAAGAAGAGATTTGGCAATATATAACACAGCTTTAAAAATATTCATACCCTAAGGAAGAGAGAAATGGTCTCTTTTTGCGCACCTAGAAAACCCAAGAAAATAAATGTTGAGATGAATAAAGACAATATTCAATAAGGCAGCAAGGTATAAAATGACTGACAACCAATTCCACCTTCATATATGCAAACAGCAGCTAGTTTGAAAACAGAGAAGAACCCATTGTAAGAGCGATGAAAAAGAGAAATTCCTAGGGAATAAACCTACATGAAATGGATAACATCCAAGTGAAAAAAACCTGTCAGCTCAGCCCCGCACGGTCCTTGCCAGGGCCTTGTGAAAAGTACACTGGAACAAAGGGGGAAAGCGCACAGGGCGACAGGTCCGCCCAAGTTCATATAGAAATTTACCACAATCTCCATTTGAAAAAAATTAACAAGTATCTTTTCTGGAGCTAGACAAGCTGGTTCTAAGGTTTATGGGGAAAAAATAAACAAGCAAGAATATCTAGGAAAACCTTGGTGAAGAATAATAATGAGGAGGTTCCCTTGCTCTATGTTCAAGCAGGTCATAAAGCTGACAACTTAGAAGAGGGTTGCATCACCATGGGAACAGACAGATGGGCCCTGGGCACGAAATGAGTCCAGAAACAACAGAAGAGTTCTGTCCAAGTACATATGGAGATTTAGTATCTTAATGATAAAGGTCTGGGGAAGGTGATCTCAAATCATTAGAAAAAGATGGACTTTTTAATAGATGATACAGGGACAGCTGGACGGCCATTTGCAAAATGATAAAATTGATTCCATGCTTCACTGTACATCGGAATCCACTCCAAATGGAACCGATCTAAACGTATGACAGTGAAACCATACAAAACAAACATCAGTGAATTCCTTTATAACCTGGGAGTGAGGAGCCTATAGCCTTAAATCTATAAGCAATAAAACAGATACAGTGGATTATGTGAAAACACATGTGTGCAATTTTGCACAGAAAAAACTACACGCAAAGTTGGAAAGACAACAAAGTGGGAGAAAACACCACTTCAGCCCATAAAGGGCTAATCGTCCTAATATACAGTTAGTTCTTACAAATCAAGAAGAGAAAGACCAATAAAAGGATTCACAGACCAAAGACATGGACAGTGAGTTCATAGAAAAAGATAGGCAAACAGCCTTTAAACATAAGAAAAGGGGCTCAGCTGCTCAGAATAAGAGAAATGCTAAAATTTTTCAGGACACAAATACTCAGCAGAAAAAATACTGACTCTTCACAAAAATCAAAACTCCTGGTCTCTAAAAGATACCACTATGAAAATGAAAAGGCAGACCAGAGACTAGAATATTCACAGTGTATATAAAAAGGACTTGTAGCCAGAATATACAAAGAATTACTATAGTTCAATAATAAAGAGACAGGTAACTTTTTTTTTTAAATGGGCAAAAGATGTGAATAGACACTTCACAAAAAAGGAAATAAAATGGTAAGAACCTGAAAAGGTGCTCAGCATCCTTAGTCCTCAGGGAAATGCAAACCACAAAGAGACACCAAGCTGTACCTTCTAGAACTGCCAAAATAAAAAAGGTTAGTAGCACCAAAGGTCTTGTGAGAGTGTGGAGCAACAGGAACACACGTAGTGCTGTGCAGGGACAGAAACTGGCATCGCCACTTGGGAGTAAGGTCTGGTGACATCTAAAGTTAAACATACAATATGAAGCAGCCATTCTACTCCTCTTTACCCCAAAGGCATGAAAGCACGTGTCCACAAAAAGACTTGTGCAAGTATATTCATAACAGCTCTATTCATAATAGGCACAAACTGGAATCAATCCCAATGGCCATTGGCAGGCAAAGAGAAACAAAGAATGGTATTGCCACACAATGGGGACTACTCACCATCAGAGGAACGGACCACAAATACGTGCAGCAACACGTATGCGTCTCAGAGCCATTGTGCTGAGTCAAACAAGCCCGACACAGAAGACTACATACCCTATGGATCCATTTATGTAAAATGTAGACGTGGCAAAACTAATCTATGGTGACAGCAGATTGTCAGAACTCACCAACCTATGCACTTTAAATGGGTGCATCTTACTATACACAAATTACACCTTAAT